GCCTGCGCAGGTCACCTCCGATTGCACTTAGGCACTCTCCTAATTGCTTTAGCCCCTCAAAAACCACTTTCTTGCAGCTTTTACAAGCACCTTGATCTGCCAGCTCACTAGCTTGATTTGCTCTTGCTGATCCTCTTTACTGATAAGAATACTGTCCTTTCTATTGCACTTAAATTGGTTCTTTTCAGAACCTCCTTCACCTTAATCTTAGTTTATCTGGTACACTGATATATTGTTGGAAGATTACGATGCAGAAATTATCATGTAAAAATAATGTAGGTGTTTTGTCTGTCTATTGGAATATTTCATACAATATCCTGTAGAAATTCCCCACTGCAAACACTAGGTCTTATTTTTACCAAGATCTATTGGTCCCAAGCAGGAGTAAATCTGTAGGAGATTTCAGAGGACTTTCCTCACGAGTTAAACACCAAAAGTTAGAGAAATGTGTACAATCTAAGTCTCCTGTGATACTGCAATTTCCTTTTTGGCTGTACAGAAAATGTTCCAGTGAAATTAAGGATAACGATTGAAAGTTGAATGTTAAAATGAAAATTTCAGCTTTTCATGTTTTCTGATCTTCCTGACCAAAGTAGAAAATTGGAAATGGGATACCAGTGGTACCAGTGTAGACAGTAATACCTGTGAGTGTGCAGGCAACACTGTCATCACTCTGAACTTTTCTTAACTTAGTAGCCCACTGCTGGGGGGTGACTTGTCATTGTCCCCATATCAGCAGAGTCCATTTTTGCAGAGTCTTATTACACTGAGGCTCATTTGGTGATATTGTCAGTCGTTCTTCTTCCTCACCCCATTCCCCATGCAGAAAGTCCCTCCGATGGATAGTTTTCTTTTCCATGAACTCCAGAAGGAGTGAAGGTCCGGACAATGGGAGACCCTTTTGTAGAAAGGTCCTCCTGTCTTCCCAGCCAAGGGGACCCTACAGAGAAAGGGTTAGGAATAAAAAGAACACCACTCCAACAGATCTTTTGGAGACTGCCTCTACTACTGCTTCTATGAAAAGAAGGGGGATCAAAGCACCAAGGTTACACTTCATGGGGAAGGCTTGAGAAGGGTAGTTGGGTCATTTTGTATCTTAAGCGTACGTTTGCCTTGGAGTCTAAACCGTTTGCAGTTGTCTAGTATGTGACAGCAAAAGCAGACAATGGAAGATCAAGAAATTTATTCTTAGGTAAGAGAGGTCTTTGGTGTGGAGTTTTCGGAGACTTCAGAAGATTGCAAGAGACTGCTAACAATTACTGCCAAGGATGAATAAGACATGTTTTTCAAATGTTAGTGATTACATTGCACAGCTAGTCTGCATATTTTCATAGCGCATTTGCCCACAGGTTTAAATGATATAAATGGAAATTATTTTAACGTGTTTCATGAATGTACCTCTAAGTTAATGTCCAGCAGAAGGTGCAATGTTCTTGGTCCAAACAGTAGTATTGTAGATCCTTTGACTCCCAATAATTACGATGCTACCTTTGGAGTATGGTGAAGTTAGTACGGGATAAATATTTAGTGGACACAAAAATCCGATTTTTTTTAGCTGAAAGACTAACAAAAATGTGAAAATATTCACCTCCTGCAATGCATAAATGTGTTAGAGGATAGTGTTTCTTTCTCCCATGTTTTTTATTAAAGTGCTTGTTTGAAGACTAATTAAGATAACTTCTGAAGAGTTCTTTTGTTCTTACGCTTACTCCTCTGTTGATGTCATACTCCTTGTCTTATGAAAACTACTACTGTAACTAAACTTATATATATATATATACACACTGTTCTACAATACAACAGAGTTGAATTAAGCAGACAACAGTAAGGAATGATATTTTAAAAAAATCCTCTGTAGTATATTAAACATAGGTAAAGAATTACAATTAATATATGCTTGATAGAAGTTTTCAAAGAGACCAAGTTTTTATTGGCTTTTTAAAACAAGTTTGTAAGAAGCTTCATGAAACATAGGCCCTGAATGTAAAAAGTTAATAGCTTGCAACTATATTAATGTAATGTCTAGAATATTACATTACTTTGTTTCCAGAGATAATCAATGATGGTAATATAATATCTGCCTCTCAGAGCCAATGTATGATTTAAATTAATTGTTGCTTATAAAGCACTTTGAAGTCTTTAGCAGAAAGGTGTTGCATAAATGTAAAAGTACTATTATTAATTTAACATCACCATTAGAGTAAAGTCAGTACTTTAGGAGCATTTGCTGTACTCTGTTCAATATCTTTTTATTCATCATATGCTGCATATTAGTTATTTTAACATTTAGAAAGCTTAGTAATCTGGAAGTATTCCAAACCATTGTTCCAGACAGCAGTTAGATATTTGGGTGGATCATGTAAAAACAGTGAAATGGCTGAGAAAGCATGTAAAATGTTTGTTTTAAGTAATATTACATCAATGGAACAGACATCTGCAGCACTGGACTTGATTTGAAACCTCTTTAAACTTTTTTTAAGTTAACGTTGTACTATGTTTTCCTAAAATTGATTGGGGGGGGCTAATATCATATTATTTCTAAAGAAGTATACTGTTTTAGCTTTTGTTCAATTTTCATTTCTGTTTCTCAAATATTTGTGGGAAATCAGATTTACAGTGGGCAGGTTTTAAGGACTGCAGCACTGGACTTGATTTGAAACCTCTTTAAACTTTTTTTAAGTTAACGTTGTACTATGTTTTCCTAAAATTGATTGGGGGGGGCTAATATCATATTATTTCTAAAGAAGTATACTGTTTTAGCTTTTGTTCAATTTTCATTTCTGTTTCTCAAATATTTGTGGGAAATCAGATTTACAGTGGGCAGGTTTTAAGGAGGTGGTGAACCCCTGCCACTCAATATTATTGTTGCTGTTTGGTTTTGTAACCTAACATCAACTATCGATATCTGTATTACCTATTTGAGTTTTCATTCGTGTTACTTCTTACATAAGACTATTTAAAAATATGAGCAGTGATAGGCCTTGAGGTTATAGCCTCAGAAAAGGGTGTAAAATCCCTATAAACGTATAGGGATTATGCGCTATAAAATAATGCTGCATGTTTACACAGTTGTTGTTATCTATAAGATTATATTCTAAGTTGTCCCAAATGGAGAAAAAGACATTTTAGGGACCCTGTCCTCCACCATTCCCAGTAGCATTGTCTTGAGTTTGTGCTTAGCTCTAGAGTTCAGCGCAGACTCTGCTGGCTTCGGAGCCAGTTGTAAGACTGGGTAAAACACCTCTAAAGTTAGAGTTCAGGATCCAGCCGAGCTCCCCAGCCCCACAAAGGTAGGCGGGGAGGGCAATCAGGTGACTAACAGATACGTCTTTGTGAATGGTATAAGCTGATGTTCCAGCTTCCTGAAAGCAACATTAATTTAAAAGTCAAATGTGTGAGTAAATCAATTAAAGGATTCACTTGTAAGCAGGGTGCTGAGTCAGCAGCAAGGGAGTTCGATTTTCACCATGTAGTTGCAAATGAGGATATTATTACTGGTAATATTTTTTGAGTCTTCTCCTTGTGGTAGACATTTTATTTCAAAATACTACTTGCACTATTAGGATTAGAGGAATCCTTTGTAGGTAACTGGAAATTAATTTTCTTCTCTTCTTTGAGCTTATTCTACGTTCTGAGATGAATGTAACATGTACTGCAAATGAATTAAGCATTGAACCTTTGATTTCTCTTGGGATCACTAAATCAGTTAACCAACAGGTTTATCATCCCTAGAACGAAATGCCATATGGCTCAGGTTCGCCCATGTTATTTTCAGATATATGCTAGAAGATTAAAGTATGCTATTAATATGAAATTACGTATTTCAAGCTCATTTTTCAATTTATTAGTAGTAAGGAAGAGGTTTTCCTCTTATATCAGCAAACTGGGCACTCATGTTTCCAACAAACACTTCATTGTATATGAGAAGTAGCAAACTTCAGACTTAATTCTGCACATTTCCATGCACGAGAATATCAGCAAAACCGATCAAGTATTATGTTCTCCTGTTTCCAAGCAGGTTTAGGGTTGAGATGTTTTCTAAAAAATACATGAAAAATTCTGAAACATAACCAAATTATCCCTAATTTACATGTCACTGGAAATACTGAAAAGTAATTCACATAACCAACTTGTAACTCCTATTGATATTAATGATGATTGTTTGATATTGATATTAATGATTGCCATTGATATCAATGATGACACATACGTACTTTCCTTGTTCCGTACAAGTGTTGTCCAAGGCAAGTAGCTATTTGCAAACTATAGGATGCCATATGTGCAGCTAAATAAATAAATTAATGAATTCCTCTTTGCTGAAGAGCACTCCATCACATAAGAGTCATTAGCCCCATAACAAGGTGGCTGCAGGGCAATTTAAGGTTATTTAAGCACAGGCCGCCCTTGTAGTTCAGCAAACACTTTAAGCCAACGCTTGAGGCAGGGCAGCTACGCTGCATGAAGCCGTCCTACCCTTCTTTTGCCTCCAACAGCTCCTTCTCCTGAGCATCATTGCGTGGTCCTACAGGTGCTGGGGCTGGCACAAGCGATGGAGCAGCTGGAGGTGGGAAAGGAAAGAACTACTTCTGGTGGTGACGGTGCTGACGCGGGGTAGTTTAAATGATTTGTGAAATAGCAGCCGAAATTATTGTGGCAGGTAGGAGACAGAAGATTGTAATGAAATAAAAATTGGGCTACTGTTTTGAAGTAGCAGCTGTTCCTCGTAGTTTGTAGATCTCCAAACCTTCTTTGTTCACGTCGTGTATCCTGTGCTAGCCACAGTTTTAAAGTCCAGGTTTGTACCTGCTTAAAAAGAGTTGGGGAGGAGGAAGAAGAGGGGCACTTCAGATCTGCTTTGTTTCTAAATAAATGATGCAGTTTCATTTACAGTTACTTCAAAATGCTTCCTTTGTTTTCCACTGCAAAATATGTGAATGAAAATTGTCTGCACGTCAAACCCGTTCTAGAGTAGTGAGAACGATCTTTGTTTTTATTTTCAGCACCAAAGGGAATACTCCATCTCTCTCCTGATGTTTATCAAGAGATGGAAGCAAGCCGCAACAAATCAGCCCCTGGTACCACTGTAAGCTATTTGTCGTCCAAAGAAATGAGCCAGACTTCTAGCTCTTTCTTCAGCATATCTCCTACAACAAATAGCACAGCGACGATTGCCAGGGAACTTCTCATGAATGGAACGTCCCCAACTGCCGAAGCCATAGGTCTAAAAGGAATATCTCCTGCTTCCCCCTGTTCTGCAGTGCAGCCTTCAAAACAGCTGGAGTATTTGGCAAGGATTCAAGGCTTTCAGGTATGGGAGGGGGAAAATGAAGCTCTTCAGCCAGAATCATAGCATTGCCATCAAGGTTTCACTCTTGCCCTCTTGAACATGGGCATGCATGTAACTTATCCTGTAAAATTAGCTGGTGTCCGAGGCAGTTTCTGGGTCCAGGAGATACAGCTCTGCACCAATACACATGTCCCTCCTTCTCTTTTTTGTTCCTTCCTTCCACTCACCTTACTGCAGGCCATCTTTCTCTCCTTTGTTTATTCTCCCTAAATAATTAAAGGCTTAAATTATGCTTTTTACTTGCACTTGTTTGAGAGTCTTCACCTCTTGGCATTAGAGGCTTTACATCCTGCTCTGGTGTTGGTTTCTCTCTTCAACTCTGATCCAGAAGGTACTGACGCGCAGCCGTAACTTTGCGTTGTGTCTTCTGGGCCAGGTCGTTAAAGCCGTTACTCTGCTTCCCACCCTTAGCTGTAACCTGTAGAACAACATTTTGATCAGAAGGTGCAGCCTGGGAGCAGACCTGGTGTCAGAGCAATGCAGAATGTTTTTGACATCAGAGTCAATATTAGAGAATGTAAGATGAACCGCGCTGAGTCGGGCCCAGGAGTCCTTCAGCACTGGTAACCTGTACCCAGCAATGGCCAATACCCCACATTTCGTAGGACATTGGCAGCCTCTGTAGTACATCCAGTCATTTCTGCAGTGTGGCAGGTGGGAAAAGAAAGCCTCTGCCCGATCACCATTACATGCAAAATTACACACAAAATTCCACATGTAGTAGTTTAGAATAGAAATAGTAGCTCATTTTACTGTGTTGCACCATCGGAGAGTAGGATCAGCTATCTAGAAATATCCTGTCATAGGTTTTTATTTTGATTTATTTTAGTTTTTTGTTGTTTTGTTTTGGTTTTTTTTTCCTTTTCAGAGTTGTGAATTTGTTTCATTTGGAAAGTTGGTTTCGTATGTTCTAGCATATGTAATTTGATCATATAACCAAATTCTGGAAACGGGAGGTTTCTGTTTTACATGCCTGATAATGATTTTTTTTCATCCAAGCCCATGTAATTTACAAACTGTGCAGTTGTTGGAAGTGATTTAAAAGAGGCTGCCAGAATTCGAGAAATAGTGTCAGGTGTTCTGTTGGCGTAAGCAGCGTAGTTAAATTACATTTGTGTACATCAGATATCGCCGGTTGTGGATTTCACCTAATGCTGTTTCTGTCTAAAACGTAGATTCAGCTTTCTTTTGGTCTTCATTTTTAAAATCTTGGTTTTGATTCATTAGTTTGAATGTCTCTTAATGCAAGAAACAGTAAAAGCCTAAGCCTCCCCGTAGTAGAGTTAAGCTGCTAATAGGAATTCACTTTTCCTGAGTTCCATTTGTTACCTGCCTGCAGTAGAAACAGATGAATTCTGATGAAAAGAAACTCAATCCCTGAAGTTTTCACTGCTCGCTTTCACATCTTGTCAGATTGCTTGTGTCTACTAGTAACACTTTATTTTCATAGACCTGATGCACAATTTATGTTACTGTTTTGACTCCTACTTGCCTACAGTATGTGGTTACTGTAAAATGATGAGTTGTGTCTGTCCTGGTTTTTTTCATGCTTTGATTCTAGATGCTTATGTAGAAATTGTTTTTAAAGGGTCTTACTTTGAGCCAAAAAATATAATCCGTTTCATCCGTGAACTAGACTACTACTTTTTACTTGGCCCTGATACAAACCGCGGAGTTTGGTAGAGAATCTCGATTATTAACGTCTGTCCGCTGTGTATGTAACTGATGGTTTTACATCATCTTAGCGTGCTTTTTTAACACCTCGCTTGACTTAAGCCTGGTATCGATGTGAAACTCGGCCACAGCTGAGCCGAGGTGGAGCAGTGAACAGAATCTCTGTGGGAAATGGCTCAGTGGCCTGGCAGGTGCATAGCACAGGTCTCTTCACCATTTCAACCTAGAAAGCTCTTTGTGTTTAAGAGTTTAAAAGCTGATTTCTTTACAAGTTAACTTTCTCAGGCATATTTACTAAGTAGAAAACTACTGCATTTGCAAACAGCTAGCTTGTTTCATGTTTCCTGAATGACCCAAAATGATTTTAAATTGTTAGCATGTATTTGTATTCTGGTCCGGATGATAACCATAGTTTTTGTCTTTCATTGAAGAACGTATACATTCTGTTCTGTTACAATGTATTTTTGAATTTAAAAAAAAAATCAATAAATACTCATATGATGTTTCATTTGTAAATGTAAAAAAAATGTTATTTGGTTATTTGAATGGTTTTTTTGAACTTCTTTAGCTACAGGGGACACATCTTTAAAATGTGGTTATTTAATTTAAATTCTTCTAAACTGTTTGTATATGATCTATGATCTTAGCCATCTTCTATTGTAAGCCCTTAATATTAAGAGTTATTGGGACCAGTGTGTGGAAAAGTACTAAAAAACCTACATTTTTATGTTTTGTGGCTTCTTATTCTAAAGATACTTGTAATTGATAAGCAGCAGTTCAGTGTCACTGAAAAACAGGTGCTTAGGTTGGATACTTTCAAGGCTCAGGCTTCAAATTACCAGCGATAATTAAACACAAATATTTCAAGCAAGCCTTTACAAACTCTGAATAAAGCATTTTTAGTGCTTGCTTCATATTCATGAATATGATCTACCGGTTAAGTCTTTTGCAGACTTTGCCTGGAGATTGTTTAAGGGAAAATTCAGCTTTGGTAAAATTGTTGTTTTTAAGTGACTCTGTGGTATTTTGGTCATTGTTTTGTAACTAGATTAGGAAAGTTACAGTTATTTTTGCTGACTGTTGAAGTGCAGTAAATTATTCAGAGAGTTTGTTTAAATGGAAACATTTAGAGAAGCTGTTTACACATGAATAAGTTGAGCCTCCAGTTTTTACTGAGGCAAAACACAAGTTGCAGGTAGTCCAGGAGGAAGTTCCCCTGGGAGTTTCCATGAAGCAAAGATCGTAAAATTTAAAAAGCCATGATTGAGTGCCCACAGTCAGTCCCAGTGCGCGGCTGCAACCGTACTTGGCTTGCTGCGTTGGCAGAACTTAGCAACCTTAACTTTTTCTCCATAGTGGCTACATAATAAAACCTCACACAGGATATAGTTTCTACGTGATGTATTCCTTTGATTGCAATGATTAATGGTTACACAATTTATATCTTTTTTTTTTTTTCCCCCGCCTCCTGCATTTGTTTAGTGGTTAACTGTTCCATTTTATGCAATGATGGATTTAAATGTTGTTGGGCATTTCTAAATGTTTCTCATTTCCCCAACCAGCAGCAAAGGCGTACGTTTCTGAGTGACTGTACACAGGAGAAGTCCTGCTGGATGCTCAAGAGTCAGGTTTACTTGTGGCACATGTATTTCAGTGCATGGTTTCGAATTGTTGGCAGAGGTGGACATAAACTTAATTTCCGCACTAGCATTAGGGTTGACACTGGGCTCAAACC